AAGATAAAACAGATTGAAGACCAGCCTTCCCTCATACTCCTCTTGGCCTTGTGCCACATTTTTGTATTTTTCTAAATAAATATCACTTTCCTCTTTTACAGCTTCTGGCTACAAGATGTAGTCACATGTGGGGAAAAAAAAATGTGCCCTACTGGGGCACGTTTATTTTCATTGTTTTCATGACTTTATGTGCTCTCTCTCACATACGCTCATTTTACACAGATTCTTATTAGAGGTAGTCTCATGTTTTGTTTTTGTTTTTTGTCACATGTAATTCTTTTGATAATATATATGTTGTTTGTTTTATATTGTTTTGCGTTACTCATTTTTACTTGGACTCACATAGAGTCCGCCAATATTGCTTGGGGGATAAATTTTCCAGGAACCTGTAAATATTTACTATCCAATGTGTTGATTACCACAACATAATAATGGTGACTAAATATTTGGGATCTTTTCTGTTAATTCATCCCAAATAAAGTTATTTATCTCAAATATTAATCCCCCCCCCATTATTAATTTAAAATCAAAGCCTGTTTTGCTTACCTTGCAACAACTCCAACCTTCTGAACAAAAAAAATTACCAATAGGTAATCAGCAAGTTACTCACATTTCATAAGTGTGGATATTTGTGGTACTTACAAGGAATTTTTTATAATAAAAAAATAAATAGTAAAAATTTGTTTTTGGCTTGTTTATCAGGGGGTGAGCATGAATGTTGACCTCACACTTAGAAACAGCACACCCGAGTCACCGATATTTGGGTGATCGCAAAGGTCAACTCAACTGGAGTGCAACAGAAGGGCCTAGCTCTGGAAGAATTTGGTGTGAATTAACAGAAAAGATCCAATATTTTTTTACTCCAAGCATCCCGCAACAATTTTTATCAATTTTATTAAGTATCCCACATTTGGATAATCGAAAATCTGCCAAGAAAGTGGAAATTTTTTCCACTTTGTTATTGATTTTCCTAATATTGTTCTGGTATAAAAAATATACCATTTTCTCCTAAAAATATGAATATTTTTTTTATTTTTGTTTCTGTAAGGTTTCTGTCAGTTCATACCTCGCCAGATAAAGAGAAAAACAGTAAATAAATAAAAGTCAGAAAGTTTGCAAATATGCTCCTGTGACAATTTAAAAAAAAAAAAAAAAAAAAACCTCATTCCTGATGTAAAAATCGCCTGATTATTTCAAAGATAGCATTAAAAATTGTCAGAAATCTACCGTTTAGGATAGATTGACAATCTTAGTGGAGTCCCAATTACTCTTGATTACTGTGCACTGTAAACGTTTACCCATACTGGAACCAGTGACCAATTAAAAAAAAAAAAAAATTTACAAAACGGTTTTTGAGCGTTAATTTTTGTGAATTACAGTGTTCATTACACACTCTAGAAAATACAACTTCTGACTGATTGGGTATTTAAAAGTCAAGAGAGTTACTTCACTTTGCAATTATGACAACCACAACAATCTTTCTTTATTCTTTTTACCTAAGAATTAAATTTGAAATAAAATTTTGTGCACAATAATGAATAAATAAATTAACAAAAATCGAAAAGTAAATTTAAGGTTTTCCTCTATATTATATTCTATGCAAATTTTGAAAAAACAAAACTGGTTCTTTATTATTGTAATTTTTACTTTAGTTTATGAAATAAAAAATAAAAAAGCAAAAAAAAAGAGTAACTTTTTAAAAAGTCATAAATGGTTTGGTTTGGTTTACAGCATATCAACCTCAATGGGTCATTTAATGCCGACAATTTTTTATTTTTTTTCTGGGAATATTTTTGTTTTGTCGAAAATTTATTTCTGTTAATATTTTTTTCCACAAAAATGTATAGCCGGTAATATTATTTTTTCAAAAACGTATTGCTGGTAATATTTTTTTAAAAACATATTGCTGGTAATATTTTTTTGCTTCAAAAACTTATTTCTGGTAATAACCTTTTACAAAGATTTCTGGTACTAAAACCTATTTTTGCACTTTTATAATGCCTTTTACCTCAGTTTCTGTGTTAACTATTTGCTCATAGCTGGGACCCTAACAGGTGCTACCAGGGAACACCAGCAATTAGGAGGTTCCATGGCCCTCAAAGCCTCTTGATCAGAGGCCTTGCTGTTGGACGAAGTTTATCGTCTTACCCTGGAGGCATATGTAGTTTATCGTCATACCCAGGACGCCCAATTAGGGGGGGGGTCTTACCCCTCTGCAGAGGTACAGTCGGCGTATTCTACAGCTCCAACTGACAGCGAAAAAATCAAATAGAAAAATTATATTATATAATTTTTCCATTTTTGACTAAGAAAAATGATTGCAGAAGATTAAGAATAAATTTTTAGACTGTGTTGATCGTTTTTGTTTTGTTTAACGACTTCAATTTTTTGACAAGGAATCATTTTTAAAGTAAAAAAAAAAAAAAATGCGTCAAAACTGTCAAGAATGACCTAGGAAAAAAAAAAAAGTAAAAACTAAAAAGTAATAACAAGAGTTGCAGTTGAATTTCGAAATGAAATTCTTTCAAAAAAAGTTTTACCGAAAAAAAAAAAAAAAAAAAAAAAAAAAAATTCGTCACTAATTCATGTCAGAGAAACTAACTTCCTTCCTTTTTCGATGCTTTTCCTTTTAAGTTTTAACCAACAAAATAAATTTTGGTTGATTTTAAGAATTTGCAGGAATATTGAGCAACATCAAACACTTGTTAAATGTTATTGTTAAATTGTTGATGCTTTAAAACCGAGGTAGCTTTTCATTTTCAATATTTTTTAGAGCTTTAGTTACTCGTCCTTCCAAAAGGGATTTTTATTTTTGTCTAAATAAATAAATATTGTAGACTACTAAAAAAATATTGGGGATTCCGATTTAAAATAGGGTTTGGTTTGGGGTAAAACTTCTATTTGAAAACGTTCAACAAAATCTTAAATATTGTTTTATTTTGAGTTGAGCGTACAAATGCAATCAACTTCTGCGAACAACATGAATTTAAAAATGCAAATAATTGGAAAAATAAAAATATTAAAATTAAAAAAAAAGAAAGAAAGAAAATAAAAAATCGAACGGATTTACCTCCTTTTAAACTTATAACTAAAAAAGGGAATTCCGAATTTTTTTTTTTAAATTTTCTATTTATTTTCGTTTCATAAATTCCAACTGGTCGCAGTTGATTTAAAATTTAAATCAAATTATTATATTTCATTTTTATGGAAAAAAAAAGTGTATTATTCAGAATATGAGACAAGAAGTCGACGCGATTTAAGGAAGTTAATTCACATTTTTGGTATGCGAAAAACGTTTTTCCCAACACGGAAAAAAAAAGAAAAAAGATTCCTGCGCATTGTAATGTACAAAAAAAATAAATAAAATAAATAAATAAATCAAATGAAATTAAAACAGTCAATCATTGACATAAATTTATTGTGTGTATTTGAACTCAAGAAAAGACTCCTTCCTTAAGAAAATAAATAAAAAAAAAAACGTCAAGCCAGCCGGGAACTTACATAAATATTCATAAGATCAAAAGAAGAAAATTAACTGAGTTGGTGTTATTTTTAAGCAGTTTTGCAAAAATAAATTTCATTTCCATGAATTCATTATTTTTCCTGTAAATGAATTCGTTTTCTTTTTTCAAATTAAAAAATAAATAAATCATTCTTTTCTTCTTCAGAAAAAAAGAATTGATAACAAGCTCAAAATTGACATTGACTTGCATTTTTAAGTTAACCCATTTTTAGGGCAGAGAGAAATAGACTAAAAAAATAAATCCACTAGTTAAAAAAGAGGGGAAATATTTTTTGGAAATAATTTTTGGAGATTGGCATTGTCCCAACCTTCCGTGAAGTAGGGTCACTTGCCAGAATCGTAAAATATTCATTCTTTTATCATTTTAGAAGAGAGGTCTTGTTTTTGCAGTATCAAATCGATCCCTAATTTTTTTAACAGGGTTATCTGGACTTAACTATTTTGCGTACGATAACAGATCTTTTTTTTTTTAGAAGAGGGTTACAGATTGCTTCTTTTTTCTTTTTAAAAAGTTATAATTTAAAAGAACGAAAGTTTACATATATATACTTTTATTTAATAAAAATAAAATAAAAGCATATATCCGTTTCTTCATGGCAAATATTTTTGTCTATGTGAAAATTTAAATTAAAATAAAGAATTTACAAAGTTTTTAAAAAATTCAGAATTATGAATGATTTTTTTTTTTAACCACGCTTTTAAACTTGACAGTTGTAAATAAATAACAATTAAGTCCAATAAATCTGTAAAAGTCAGTGATCGATTTTATATTTCGATATTCAGGATCCCCTTCTAATCTAAAAAAAAAAAAAAAAATACTTTTTTTCGATTTCGACAAGTGCCGCGACCTAAGAAAGGTAAACTATTAAATTAAAGAAAACTAGTCTACAAAAAAGTTCCCTATTTTTACGAGTGAACCAGCGCCCTTTTACCTTTTCTTAAAAAAATAAATTTACCGAAATTTTATTTTATTTTTACCGGACATTATGGTGAAATAAAAATGGATTTTTAAATGTTATACTAATTTTTAGCTTAGTTTGAGCACAAGATCAAAAAATATTGATTGTGAGCGCCTAGTAATGATCGAACTCACTACTCAATAAAATGATCAATCAAATGAACTCACTATAACTCTACGCCGAGGTGCCCTTTGATGCTTAATGTAGTAACCTTTGTTTTGTTTGATGCTTTTTTTAGTTTAATTTTGGTTGGCACAAGGTTACAAGTGTTGGACGCCCAGTATAGGTTGAACTCACCAAAATCTCTCTCTAGCTACGATGTGCCTTTTTTAAATTTATCCACAATATCGACTGCTCCTTCTTCCTACCAACTCTTTCCACAGTCAATTATTTGCAAGTTCTGTGACAAATTGACCCTTAACAACGTATTTCTAAACTTCTTGGTTGTTGTAAAAATGAAATGTAAATCGAAAAAACATTTTCACGCAGCCTTTTATACTGCGCATTAAGAATATGTGATGCAGTCGGTCTTGTTTGTCGCGCCCCGAGTCTTCTTGCGAAAGATATCTTTTATGACTAAAAAAGGTGTTGTGTTCCATTTCAAAGGTAAAAAGCGAAGTTTACTCTGAGATCGGGAAAACGTCACATTTTGATTTACGGCTAAGAAAAAAGTCACAATATTAATAATTATCCTTTTTTAATACTTTAAACACTTATTTTATTATTGTGAATATGTTGTGCATTTATATTTACTTACTTATACAATTACAAAGTTTCCATGTCTATTTTTGTTCTACATTTTTTTTTAATCAACATGAGTTTCTGCAAGATTTCTCGACAATCTTTGACTCACGTTTCAAACATAACAATGCTTTAAATTCAAATAAATTGAACTAAAACCCAGCATAAACTATATTTTAAAGCAAATGTTTAAAACTTAAACATTTTTAATTATTCCCGCAAATCTCAAACACCTACCTACAGCAAGTGTCCCTTGTAAAAACTAATTGTCGATCAATTAAAAGGTCATGAGAGTAACAAACTTTTTTCTTTTTTTAAATTACAAACAGAAATTTTAATTTAAATCATCAGTAAAATTAGATCTTGGATAAGGTGTATAAAGGATTTGAAATACTAAGCGTTGTACGAGTCAGTGATTTTAGATTTTTTTTTTAAGGTCTGTCCAGTGGGCTAAAAGAACTAGGATTTTTAGTTTTTTTACCCATCTCCCTAACTATATTTTTTAAGAAAATGAAAAATAATCTCTTATTTCCCCTAGCAGTATGTAAAATTACAAAAACGATATTTCGTAAATCATTTAATTTTTTAGTTTTTATTTTTTGTTGTGCATCAGCAATCAGGTTTAAAAGACAATAGAACAGGTGCCAGTGGGGGTGGGAATAAGTTTTTAATTACGCAAAAAAATGCAAGCACAATTATAATAAATAATTGTGTATTGTATACAAAAACCTTTGCTTTGGTTAATCGAGGGAAAGAAAAAAAAATTTTAATAAGGAAAATTTTTAGCACCAACATCAAAACTGATTTTGATTAAGAAAGAGGTGGGTAAAATAAAAATAAAAACATGTTTTTGAGTTTTACCTTGTCTGCCATTGTGTGCTTTAGAGAATCCTAACTCTGGTGCATCGTGTTGTTCTGGAACTTGTGGCACTATTCTCTTCAAAGAACTGACTGGGTCTATATAACAAACCAAACTCTATTCCACTGCTGGCTTAAAAGCTATTTTTGGTTACCAAATTCTTCTCTAGCTCTTTGACTAAGTCTACTAACTGTTAGTGTTCTTATTAGAACTCTTTCAGATGTTCATTTTTACTTGTAGAGACTTACCGTTTTTCTTTCTTCCTCTCACTCTCAATACATTATTCTTTTTCTTCTTCTAAAAAATATCAGTTTGCTTTTTCTTTCTCTCCCCACCCCTCGTTTCTTGTTTGTCAGCTTCTTCCTCTAGTCATCACTGCTTCTTCATCCATCCCAGAAAGATCAGCAGATGTATCTTTTCTCTCTCTCAAGGTGGGGTGGGTAGAAATAATAAAAAAAAAATAGCAAACCAACCTTGAAACTCAAGACGCATTGCACACTAATCATAAAAATATTTATTTCATTATCGCTCATTGCAGTTAAAGAGGTTAGTTTTTTTAGCTCATTATATTCATCAGGTACTTTCTAAAAAAGTTGTGCTCCCAAACAATGACGAAGCAATTTTTTTATCAACTTCAAACTATGGAGCTTAAGATAAAATAAAGGATCATTTCTGTTAATTCACCTCTAAAATATTAATTCACAACCAAAATAAAAATAATTTATATTTACTAAAAAAATTCACACCAAATTCTCCCTTAACAAGGCCCTTCCATTTCACCCCTGTTGGGTTGACCTTTGCGATCGCCCCAAATATGGGTGACTCAGGTGTGATAGTTCTAAGTGTGGGGGTTCAAACGTTTGCGCTCACCTCGATAAACAAGCCAAAAACAGATTTTTTAAAAATTTATTTTTAAATTGTAAAAAATTCCTTATAAATACCTCGAATATCATCCGCACTTACGAAATGTGAATAACTCCCCGATTTTTGGTATTTTTTCTTTCTGAGGGTTGGAGATGTTGCGAAGCAAGCTAAACAAATTTTGATTTAAAATTTACAATCTCTTGGGATTAATTCCTATCTGCGAAAAAAGTAACTTTGTTTGGGGTGAATTAACAGAAAAGAGACAAAATAAAAGTAATTCTCTGTTCATTTTTACATGCTATCTTTTCATGCGTAAAAAAAAATGTCTGTGTTTGACTTCATGTGCTTGGGTCATTTAATGCACTCACACACACATACATACACGGCTTGACTGAAATAAGACGTTGGAACAATACACCTCTTCCCACTTAGTCTGGACAACCCCTACTTTGGACTGAACAATAAAATCGTAAAGTTGTAAATAAAAATTACAATTTTTAAACCTAAAAAAAAATAAATAAAATATCAGATAATTAATACCTGACAGGGCCGGCGCTGAACACCCCCCTCCCCGAAACTTTGTTACCGGGCCAACTCTCAACTACATATCGATTTCATAGTTTCCCAACCTGGGAGTCACAAACCCTCGAAGGAAAATTGAGGGTAAAATGCAGCACTTTTTAAATGACCAAAAATCAGGGAATTATCGAATTTAAATGAAAATTTCAGTACATATTCATTATTTACTTTTATAACGAATAGTTTTATTTATTTAAAAAAAATCTGAGAAAATATTATTATTCTTTTTGTAAAAACAACAAATATTTTCATGATTAAATTTTACTCGGAAAAAAAAATGTTTGTCAAGAATTTTAACATTTCCATAAAGAAAGATTAATTGCCGATGCATCTCTGCTGAAAAAAAAAAGTTTTACAAAGGTTCCAACACAACACAAATAGGATTGTCTTAAAAATGTTTTAAAAACAGTAAAAAAAAAAAACAGTTGGGGAAAATTTTTCATGTGTTGAAATCTTTAAACATTTTTATTTTTTTACAGCTTAAGCAATCATTTTCTCGGTTTCATCTTTCTAGAAATGTAAAAAATAGGGACTATAAATTTTATTTTAATTACTAGCCGTGCACTTCTGGTTAGTATTAATTACTATTAGTTAAAAAATACTCTTTACTTTAGTAGATGATCTCTGAATAAAAAATAATTTTATCAAAATATTACCCTCTTAATTAATTTAAAAGAACTGTTCAGAAAGAAAATTATAATCTAAAAAATAAAGACCACTGAAATTAGCACTTCTGCCTACTACTCTTCCCCAGTAGACATGGGACCCTCATGCAGTTGAGAGGTTTGGGGTAGTAAGCACTGGCCCTGTCAATTATTATACTTGATGACTAACAATATAACTTAAGTAGAAAAAAGTAAAAAGTCAAAAAAAAAAAAAGAGAAAGGCACTGCTAAAACAAGCCCTTTTGGTGCTCCAACTTTGTCAGGTGTTCTTGCATATTACGCACTACACTGGCCATGTAAATGCAAGATATATATTATTAGTTGATGACAAACAATGTAACGTCATTTTAAAAATAATAAAGAAAATGGCGAATGGTCATAAAACAATGCTGGAAGAAAAAAATGTCAGAGGCTACAATGGAGGCAAAGAAAAAAAAAAGACGCTGGCCTGGATACTTGATTGAACTTTTCTGAAATCATTCGATAATATTAATTTGTTTGGAAAATAACATGTGATTTTAAAATCAACTTTCATTCCTGAATTAATGTATTTAAACGGCGTCAAAATAGGGACCTGAACATGTAAGTTCCACTTGAGCAGCTTTTTCTTGCGAAAAGCTACTCTGTGGAACCGACTCTCAAAAAGATGTTTTCTTGATCACAACAATCTTAAACTGTTCAAGTCTAAGGTCAACCTTCACGACATATCTGCAGAAACTGTGCCTCTTACTCTGTAACCCTCTACCTTCAGTGGTTCTTGGGCCTTGTACAGGGTGAACATCACTGTAAAAAAAAAGAAGCTATACATTTCTGGGTTTACGGCCATATCACATTGAAATACCGGTTTCTATATGATCACCGAAGTTAAGCAATGTCGTGATTAGTCAGTACCTAGATGAGTGACTGCTTGGGAATACCAGGTGCTGTAAGCTTGGATGTGAGGGTGGTGTAATGGATAATGGCTCGGAATTGTTAATTGGAGAGCCAAGTTCCAATTCCAGTTGGGTTCATTACATACAAATATCCTTGGTATGAATCAATCTCTTCTCCTCCCAGCTGTGTTAGTTAATATGACTTGTATCACTAAACTATTATCTCAAAAAAAGAATTCTTACAATGTAAAAAAATAAGATTTCTGGCTTTAAATAACCTGTTAAGAGTTGATAAGCCATAAAAAAATGAATCAATCAATCTATACATTTTATGCCATCAAGTTACAAGGTTATTTACGATAAAGGTTAGGATGCCAAAAAATCTTTGAATGCAGTTTCTGCATCTTCTTTGAAACGGAAACTCTTTTAGCTTAAAAATTGTCAAGATTCTTGAAAAAGTGGTAGTCTGTGGATGAGAGATCAGGAGAATATTGTGGTTTTCGTATCCAAATTCGAGGAATTTTTACAGTCCTGGCAACATGTGGCTGAGCATTGTCATATAGCAGAATTGAACCCTGTCAATTAACCCGTGTCAGTTGCATTTTGCTCAACTGAATGCGCATTTCACCCAGTTGCTGGCAGTAAACACCGGCAGTGATGCTCTGATTAGATTCCAGAAAGCTGTGATAGGTAATCCCAGTGATGGACCACCAAACAGTCACTATAATCTTCTGCTGGTGCAATTTCGAATTTGGAAAAGGTTTGCGTGCTTTGTTATGTTCAAGCCATAGAGTAGATCATTTACAATTCTTATAAAGGATCAATTTCTCATCACAAGTCACTGTTCGATCACAAGAAATGGATCATTTAAATTTCGCAGATGCAGCACCGAACACGTCAAACTCTTTTTCATTGAGTTCATGTGGAACACATTTATAGAGTTTCTTCACTTTGTCAATTTTCCTGAGATGGTCCAATATTGTTGAAATGCTGACATCCCATTATTTGAGACATTCTCAAACATTTTGACATGTGTTTTGTTCGACTAGTGCTTTTAGATGTTGATTGTCAATTGCAGATGCATGGCCTCTACCACCTTGGTCTTCAAAAGTCGTATCCCCACTGCACAACTTCGGGAACCAGCGTCGTACTCTGATCACAAATGGATCCTTCACACCATGCTCTGTTAATGTTGGCAACAGTTTGAGAAGCATTGTGACCAATTTTGAACTCATACAAAAAATTAAGGGCATCTCTTCTTTTTCATGAGGTGTATATAATTTTCTAAGTTGAATTCTAAAGGTGATTGATATAAAATTAACAAAGAGGACATTTTAATCATTAAGAATGAGTCATATATTTTTGCACAGCTCTTATAAAAATATATTAAAATGAAATTGAAATTTCATCCTAAAATCAGACATTATTTTCCGTACAAACTAATCTTATATTCCAGTGTACACACAGCGTGCGTCACGTATTTGAGAACCGGATTCTGATGTCTATTGATATGAAATTAACAAAGAGAACAATAATCCTTAGGAATGAGTCATACATTTTTTTGCAACTATTTTAATGATATTAGAACACAAAAGATTGATTCTAAAATCAGACATTATTTTCCGATCAACCTAATAAATACAATTATTTTTTAAGTTTTTTTTTAATTTTGTAATAAAAATAGACCTGTCGTTGAATTAAAAATTACAAGCACACATGGAAATGTACATACTCACAAAATTTGAAAGGAATTGAAATAGAGATCTTTGTCGCAAAGGCTATTTTCCCTTTATGTCTGGCAACAACACCAGAATAACAGGAAAATATAAGCCAGCTATTTAAAGTTATTTTTATGATTCTGGTATTTAAACTGAATATATTTATTCTAATAAATGTAGCATTTCAAATGGACAAACAATTTAGATTGAAATTTGATTATCTTGCCGTCAGCTAAGCGACAGGCACTGAAATAATTAAAAAAAACATTGTAATTTTTTTCTGAATAAAGATTAATCAATTTGTTATTTACAAATATTACTTTTGGGACTTTATTTTTATTTTATTATTTGTCCTTGACAAATTTACTTTTAGAAAAATATCAAGGAAATTAATCTTCCTGACACAGATGTTCATTTCAATTTCATTAAAATTGTGGAGTGAAGATGGAAATAAACATCAAGACAGTCAAACACCAAATGACAAAAAATGTTTTTTGAGTCCGAGGATTGCCCAATGTTCCAATTAAATAATTAATGCTTCAAAAATAAATATTTAACATTTTTCAACTGGTTGTGTTTCCCCCAACAATAAAAGAACATTTAATAATTATGCTTCATGATCCCTTTGAAAGATATTTAAGCAGAGTTTCCAGACGGACAAACCAGAAAGAGAGACAACTGGCAACAGGTCACAACATTACATTCATCAGTCTTCCTCATCAAGCTACGGGACACTTACACTTCCCTCCACTTTCTCCTTTGTTTCTTTTTCTAATACATATGGACGAAGAAATCAGATTTATTTCTTATTTTTCTTCTTAAACAGTAATATTCATCTTTGTACAAGGCCCGGGGGCTACTCAAGGTAGAGAGTTACATTTAGTTTATATCTATAGGAAATGAAGATAACGCTTAACTCTAAACTTAAACAGGTTAAGATTGTAGTCATTGGGGAAACATCCTCTTGGGAGTCTGTGCTATAGGCCAGTGCTCCATGGTTTGAGTGGAGCTTACTTCTTGCTGTTGGAATACAAATGAAATGTGGGTGGTTTGCTATTACATAAGAGGCATGGCGGGTCCTAGCCATAAAGGTTAGACCTGAATGTAGTTCGTCTGAGCACTTTCCATGCTAGTAGCAGCAATAGAGCAGTGAGAGACTTGCCACACTCCATCTAGGAGAAAGAGAGGTTGGGGAGTGGAAAATAATTCTTCTCCAACAAAGACTCGGAGATGCTTTTGAACTCTATCAAGACTGGAAAGTGATGACTAGGCAGCTCCCACCCAAATATGACAACAGTAATCCATTTTTGGCCTGATCTGACTCTTGTAAAGGTAGAGGATAGCACATGGAGTCAGGTACTTACTGGAGCGGTACAGGGAACCAACCATTTTTCCAGCATCTTTAGCAATGGATAGTATGTACATGTTCCACTTGAGGTCGGATTTGAGACCCAATATTCTCTTAAGGCATGGTGCCGCCATCGTGATTGGAAAGCAACTACAAGGAAAGGACTGTATCCTGACAAATAGAAGAACTTGAACATATACAAGCTAAGAAAAATTTAGTTGCAAAAAACAAAAAAAAAATGAAAATAAAAATATATATTTTTATATTTAAACAGTGTTTTCACCTTTTTCTTTGTTGTAGGTTGATTATGGTGTACTATACTCCAGGCTTGCTCATGGCGCAACAGAGGGCCAGAACTGGATGACTATTGAAAAATGTTTGATTTCAAGAAATTTTGGAAGAAAATTATGTTAACTATCTTTGGAAATACTTAGAATAATATTTTGACCAATACCTGAGGATAATAAAATGTGTTGAAATATATATTTTTGTTGTGGACGCTGATAAGTAATAAACAAAACATAGAGGTAGTTAAAAGTTCTGGTAAAAGATGTGACCCACATAATGTTGAATCAGAAACATTCACACTATTTACAGGTCTCACCGAACCCTTTATTCCAATCTACCCCCAGGGATTGAATAAAGAGTGGTTCAAATTTCCATTAGAATTACCAGGCTCAACAAGCTGTATCTGAAAAAGGCTGGAAGGCATCAGCCGAAATGTTTATATGACAATAAATCATCTCAGAAATATAGAAGGATAAAACAAAATCATTCTAGGAAAGTTTCAAAACCTTTAGAGTTCGTTCTTTGTCTGATCTGGGTGTGTAATGTTTGCAAAGATATGAACATGCTTTCTTTCCATGTTGAAAAAATGAAACTCAAAAATAAGCATAAAAATGTTACTTAATGATTTATAGCAAACCTTTTCCTTTATTATTGCATTAAATAAATATAGCAAAAAATATTTTTCATTAAATTTTGAAACTCTTGATGCCATCCTTCTTAATGTTGCTAATGATAGTAATTGAAAATCCTGTCTTAATTCATTATAAAATGACCATGATGTTGCATAGTACTCAAAAGCATGTATTACTCTATCTGGGTTGTATTTCATTCTGACCATTTTGGGGGCCATTGCTGAAAAGTGCTGACTCTAGATATTTTCTTGAGAAGAAAATCCATAGAATTTTAATATCGTATAATTTCTTCCAATGTTGACCAAGTATCAATTGTTTTTTTTTTTTTTTACGATTTTTGGACAGGCTGCTAATATAACACTTAACTTCAAAATGAAAGGTTTCAAACTGCAAATTTTTATAAATTCTCAACACAAAGAGAGGGATAACTTTCAACGACTGAACAGTTAAAATATTTTCAGCCAAAGATGTTACAACTGGACACACAAAGTCTTTTTTGTTGTTGATTAGACTTTCTTTCAAATTTGTATAATTAATCTTAAAGCATTTATATTTCATCAATTTGATTTCAAGCAGTACTGGAAGTTTTTTTTTTTTATATCCCTTTGAACAAGAGAGAGAGTGATGGTATTTGACTATTTTGTTGGCATACTTGCCCATACAGATGAAGGATTTCTGGAGCACATTTTTCCATGAACTTCTATGGTTTTAAAATGTGAAGGCCAACAACCTTAAAAACGTCTTCGAAAAGAAGACGTACGTCTGTTAAAAACCGACAAATTAACTTTAATATTATTTATTAATGTCATGTTTTTTCTTTAATTTTAATAAAAACATCCTTACAATTCCGTCAATAACAAAAAGAAAATGTGGTAAAAAAAAAAAGAATCCGACTTTTTTAACTTTTAGAATCAAAAACAGGACGTAAAAAAGAGAATTCGTTTTTGAAGAAGCATAAAAAACTGTTTGCTTTGTTTTTTTTTCAAGAACATTGAATAAACTTTTAAACAGAAAAATGTTGAGTCTTTAACTAAGCTAACTTTTTTTTTACCATATTTCTTAAAAACTTTTAAAAACTCTGGAAAAATGAGTGAGCAGCAGGATTCATTTCATTCACAATGTTTTTATCAAAAATAAATAAATACTGAATTAAATATTTAGAATTTAATTATAATTATTTTATTATATCATTAAATTTATGTTAAAAACATTCTTAAATGATTTTTCTTCATTCATTTTTGTAATACAAAAATATTACATTTGCTTCTACGTTAAATTAAAAATGGTAGATTATTTAAAACTGGAAATTAAAATACTTTAAGGTTAAAAAACAAATTACTCATAAAAAATTATATAACAACTCAAAATAAAATAAATAAATTTTACTTAAATTAAATAAGGTAAATGATATTCCAAATGTAAGGAAAAATGTCTTTGAATTATTACTTACTTAAGCCAAAAACACTGGTGGAATAGCTCTAGCTCAAAATGAAGCTAAAATGCTCCGCTACTCTCATCTGCCTCCAGTTCTGTCCGGAGATTTACTTGACCCCCCGCCTTCACCACCACTAAGTCGCTTGCGTCATATCGTAATGATCCGGGTTCGATTCTTGGTAGTGGATGGGCACTGCTGATGAGTCCCCAAAATAGGACAAAACGGCCGTCCAGTGCTTTCTACATTCTGTTGAGGATTCTTCTAGACGCTATTTAGTAACTGCCCCACGCAGTCACATGTGGCACAAGGCCGAATTTAAAGTGAGGTTCCTGGAGCCCGGAGGCTCGGGCCGTGTGTTCCCGTAGACCCTGCATAAACGGGGTCGGGTCTGTCTACCTCCCGGAAGAAACTCTGCCCTTCGGCATAGCCTCGTCCGGGTTCCTCTCTGCCCAAAGGCAGAGAGTTCGACTAGCGCAGCTGGGAAAGGTCCCAACTCGACTCATTCGGCTCGAGGATTCTTCTAGATTCGATGAATTCAATATATATATATATATATATATATATATATATATATATATATATATATAGTTAAAAAAGTCGAGAAAATATACTTATGAGATTAGCTTTATTGTGTGTGTGTGTGTGTGTGTGTGTGTGTGTGTGTGTTTAATGTGTGGAGCGAAAACGAAAATAAACACCAAGACGGACAAATATCAAAAAATGGTTTGTATGTTGGAGGATCCGCGCATCCTTCCGCTTAATAAATTAATCCTTTGAAAATAAATGTTTAACATTTTTCAACCAAAGGGTCATGTTTCGGCCAACAACAAAAACATGCTTCGTGATCCCATTGAAAAGTATGTAAGCAAAGTCATCAGGTCAAACAAGCCCGTAAGGGCATATTGCAAAAGATTCACGACAACACGGCTTAACAGAGACTCCCTTACTTATTCACCCGTTTCCCTCACCGAGCTACGTGACACATGCACTCACCCTCATCAGGCTATGTAACACGTACACTCTTCTTCGTCAAGCTACGGATATTTACATCCAACCTACGTGACATTCATATTCTTTCTCGCCACGCTACGGACATTTTTACACACTTCCTTGCCAAGCTACGTACATTTAAATTCCTCCTCGCCAAGTTACGGACATTAACACTCTTCTTCGCCAAACTATATGACATTAACACTCTTCCTCACTAAGCTACGTGACATTAACACTCTTACTCGCCAAGTTAAGGACATTTAAATTCTTCCTCGCCAAGCTACGTGACATTAACACTCTTCCTCGCCAACCTAGGTGACATTAACACACTTCGTCGCCAAGCTATGTGATACCCTTTCCTCCACACTTTCTTCCTTGTTTGTTTTTTCTCACACATACACGCGAAGAATTCGCATTTCTTTTCATCTTAACAAACAACTACCAACAAGGAACTTTAACTCTCATACATTCTGAGAAAGATTTAGTTGTAAAAAACTCGAAAATAAAAATATTTTTATTTTCGTTTTTTTTTTACTACTACATTTTAACCTTTCTTACCTTTTTCTTTGTTGTGGGTTGTTTTAAATCTGCCGTAACTCTGCAGGTGAAACCAAACACGTTTTGCCACTACCGTATCACGTGGCTGAGGGGGGGGGAGCAATAAAGAGTCCATGTCCTTTCCTGTTATACTAGTTATTGCCACGCCACGAAGCGAGCGTTAGGAGGAGTCACCCACCATCGTAACAGGCAGGGTAGGCAATCCCACAAATACAAAAGATGAATTGGGTGAGAGGCTCATTGAATTGAAAGCTGAGTCGAGTCTTGACGTCCTACAATTCAACTCAAAATGTTACAGGAATGTCACCAGCTTAAGTATTGATGAACAAAGAGATGCCAGTTTTCTCAAATGCGAAACGGAGTAAGCGGAGGGGACTCCTTTAGTGATAGGATCCCAACCAGAGGTTGACGGAAACATAAAGCTGAATTAGTTTGGTATTTTTGAGCGACAGCTATTTAGAGAGAGAGAGAGAGAGAGAGAGAGAGAGAGAGAATGTGGGCAGGCAAGAGAGAGAGAGAGAGAAAGATAGAGGAGGACAGGCAGTTAAGATAGAGGGGGGCAGAGAGGCAAGAGATAGATAGATAGATAGAAGGGACAGGCAAGTGAGAGAAATAAAAAGGAGATCAGATAGACAAAATTTCGCACGTATTCCAGTCGTTCGTGTTTACTGAACACGTGAGCAATGACAAAAGTTTAAGAGAAAATGGAAAAAATAACACTTATACTAAGAAGCATAAGAAACAGTCGAAATTTCTAGTACCAATAATGAGGAAAGAAGGCTTAGGAAATTTGACACTCACAGGACATATTGAAGGCTAAGGGGACAGAGGAAACAGTGCATAGCCTATCTAACAACTTTGTGTAAATGTTTGGCAGAACATTGATTAGAAAAGATAAAACTTTATTAAAAGCTACAAAGGATAGGAAATTGTCGAGAGCCATGATTGCCCACGTCGTCAAAAAAAAAAAAAAAAATTACGCGTAATTTTTAAGAAGAATCATCGATTGTCAAAATGCAGGCAAAATCAGGGTTAATACTTCTAATTTTGTGAGAAACTTTGGCAAACAGCTATAGAATGATAATCATATATATTTTAAGTTTGTAGAATTTTCTCCTTTTTGATTTCTTTTCCATGCATTCCTTTTTACTTCTTCCGGTCTTTTTTCTTGTTACTTCCTTCATCGTCGGCGTCGTTCTTATATATGACGAAACCCTTCAGCCTTTTGCTCTCCTAGCAGCTGCCAACGACTTTCGCTTGTGAAAGTCAAGTCCCTTTTGATTTGTTACACAGGCCAGACGTTTTAAATAGCCACAAATCAGCTCCCAGTTGAATTAGAAATTTGATACCACGGAATTGCAACTTATTTTCCAAATTGGTTTAAAAAATAACAAAAAGGTATGTCTTAAACCACGCTTCTTTTTTAGATTTTATTTAGGCGGGATTTGAGACCATAAAACTTGAACTTTTTTTTTTTATTATTATTTGAAAACCAAATTTTATACATGTAATCTTATAAACCGTCAGATTTAATTTTTGGTTTTTTTTTTTTTTTTTTTTTTTTTTTTTACATCAGCTTGAACCTCGAATATACAAATCTTTATACATCAAATTTTCAAGTCATTTTTACTAACCGTCTAGTATCATTATAGCAGTTTTTTGTTTTATATATATATATATATATATATATATATATATAAATGAAAACATTTATTAAAAGAAGTTATATATATATATATATATATATATATATATATATATATATATATATATATATATATATAACTTTTTAATAAATGTTTTTTAAATACGCTGCTCAAAAGAAAGTGTAATAAACAAACTTAGTCTATTGTATTATTTTTTTTATTTAACCATTAATTATTCTTATATAATTTTACTCTTCTTTTTTATTATATAAATTTTTATAACTATCCATTTCACCACTAGCACATTCGAAGAAAAGCGCTTAGTTATCTAAAAGATTATATTACATGAAGTGAATCTCTTGCCAGTTACACAACCTTTTAATTTTAATCTGAAATTAAAAGGTGACGACTGTATAATATTAAAACTCTAATCTTCTACATGTGCGTGTATATATTCCCCAGATACAGTGTAAACGACACATAATAGCCAAACCAATTTAGGAGTATATGTACAATGAACGTCTGCCAAATGCATTGTTAAATTTCATTAAAATTACACAAGGGGTTCTTGAGTAAGGGTCTGTTTTCCTGTTTTTACGGTATTCAGTAATTATTTCAATAGATAGTCTTATACCAATCCGTGTGTATAAACAAACACTTGCATATTATATTCCGACTCTTATGTGTGTGAAAAATAATAAACATACATAATGAATTATAACATAATTAAATAAATTTAAATATATATAACACAACTTATATTTATGCAAATGCATAAGAACTTTTTTTTTATAAACAAATATCTCAACAAATACTTTGATAGGTGAAGACGTTTAACGAGTGTGTCATTGTAAAACGTAATCTGTATGGATAGAAAATTGTGTAACGTGACTTGATGGTAAATAAATAAATACATGCACACTGGTTTGCCGCCGTTATGTATTTTGAAATAAATCTGAGGAAGAAATAAGTATGTATCATAAAAAATACAATTACTATTAATTTTTTATTGTGTTTGATTTAAGTAATATTATATAATGTTAGTAATAATAATTATTACAATAACTTGTATTGCAAATACAAATAAAAATATGTGTAATTAATAATAAAATGAATAATATTGTTACCTCATTATTTTTTTTTTATCGTGGAGTGCTTGGTTTATGGCTAGTCTAGTTATTACTAAAGGCAGGGCCGATGCGTACTACTACCGATGCGGGGTGGGTGGCTAATTAGGAGCCCCGGGTAGTGTTTTGTCAGCCTCACTATTTTATGAACATTTGCTTTTTTTTTATCTACATTTATATATGTTACAAATTAATCTAAGGACAACTATCAAAGGATGAAAGATTTTCGTGTATTTTGACGTCATTCTGGGGTTGGTTTTTTTTTTGTCCAAATCCGTGAACTTGTTTTGCTCATTCCGAATCTCGAATAAACACTATTATAATATTTACTATTTTTTATCCATAATGTTGTATGTGTTAAAATTATCCAATTTTTTAACAAGAAAAAATCTCAAGTTGATGTTAAAAATTGTCGCAAAACATTGTTGATTTATTTATGATCTATTATGTATGACATGTCTCTAATTTCTATTTAGAGAGACATAGAACTTATTTTCAATTTTTCTAATTGAATTGTTCTACAAAAAATTTATTTTGATGTAAAAAAAAATGTTAAATTTCGTGCATTTGTTATGGCCTTTTAGGCTCAAGCCGAGATCTTGTGAATCTACCCTTTTTTTAAATACTCGGAAGGGGATTTTACATATATTGGCCAATGGGAATCAAGATTTTCTAGCACCTAAATTTTTGGGGCTAAAAGTAGACCGTAAAAACAGAATTACTGCCTCTTACCTATAATATCTTAATTTCTATGAACCATTGTATTCCATATTATAAATATTGCTCGTATTTTTAGCCAATCTCCGTGTTTATACCAAATATATTATATATCCTTGTATCACACTATTAAGCTTGGTCTATATTCAATCCCATTAATCAACTTTTTTTTTCTCTAATAAATGCGCGTATGAATAAATTTAACATCTGTTTTTTTCTATGTGTATTTTTATTTTTTACAGATATTGTTGGCAAATGTAGATTTGACGTCAGTATACTTATCTACCGACCCAATTACCGGCTTTCCTTCCCAATCCGGCTGTCTACCTTTTCATGTTTCTACATACCGCATAATTCGCTGACGTATATGCCAGATATTTGGATAATATATTTGATGCAATTTCGTAATTTCATGCACAAAACAAAAGTGTAGTAAATAAAATATATTACCAAACCTGTGCAGTCCTTCCGCTAATGTTCTTACCTTACTTATGTCTTAATTTCTGAAACATACATCTCTATGTTTTAGGCTTAGTAACCACGGAAGTTCTGCATTTCCTATCAGTGCCACTGATTGGGTTTCAAATTTTGGTAAAAACAATGATTTAATATGCTGATGTTTAGTACAGGCAGACTATTTATTTACTTTCAAAGAATTCACTTAACACAATCTCTCTAACTCACATTTCCACCCAGGTTGTGATGAACTGAATCAAATAAATTTAATAACTATCTGAAGGATTTACGCAATACAGTCACCGTAATTTTTTCTTAATTTGTGCAGGAACTTTTTGTAAGCGTAAAGTTTTTGCTTTGCTCGGTGAGTGAAAAAGTTGCAGATTGCTGACAGGATTGCAAAAGCTGATTTTAAATGCCAGACATTACCACCTCTCATCAGTGACTTGATGAAGTTCGGTGATACCCTGGAACAAATCCTTGATTGTATCCCCCTAAGGCTTGTAGCGATGTTCGCTGAAATGAAGAAAGAAGAGAAAGATTTACCTCACCTCCACGCGAGGTGGGATGCGACACGAGGCCTGAGGGAAAAAAAGTTCGCAGCAAGAAGTCGCCCAGTATTTATAGTATGCGGAGAGAGACCCCTAGTGACAATTTGGGAATTAAGGAGGAGCTAACTCCGACAAACCTAGAGTAAGAGAGCCTTAGCCAATA